TTTAAAGGCTATTAATGGCTCATAACCGAGTCTGGGGGGAAATGGGTGACCATGCTACTAGATAAAGGTGAAGATGGAACTAGATAAAAAGTAGCATGTTCCAACTCCAAGCCTGGCAGCCAAATTTTGGACCAGTTGAAGGATTTTCCTAGGAGCTACTATTTCACTTTATCTGTTGAAGGTGGTGGGTTTTTGCTGCAATCTTAGCCACTCTGTTTTGGAAGGGGTAGTAACAGTGTTTGTTTGGGTTTGTTTGCTTGTTTTTATTGAATATTTTATTGGGTTACAGAAGTACACATAGTGTTTCTGGTGTTTGTTGTGATATGGGTACAAAAACATAGCAGAAAGTAGGACTGAATTGTTCAGAAGTGGTATCCAAGAACACACATGCACACAGAGAACTAATCAGTTGAAGCCATGCACACACCTTGATAACGCAACAACGTTCCTAAGCATGTTCATGGGCCCATTGGAACCTTATCTACATACAGCTATCCCTCTGGAAATCTGGCGATTATCATTGTACGAAGGAATGAGGGCACAGGCTACGTTGCCATAGTACAAGACGACAAGCCTGAGAATGCAGAAATCCAAGCAGTGTTCGATTCCTGTGGCAATGGGACTTGCTATCATTCCAATGGAAATGTGTGGTACGTTCAGTTCAATCAGTTTGGTCTTGTTGTTTTACGTTTAGGTTGTAAAATGTATACCAGTGTTTTGTACTTGTAATTTGAAGGGTGGTCAGGACCCCGTTTTCTAATTCAAAAACATGCAGTGCCCTTTGTTAACCAAATGGCAGATAAAGAATACTGGAGGTTACTGGTGAACGTAAAAATTCCAACTGAACTTTTAAAATGGATTTCCCACCGAGAAAACCACAAGTATTGGAAATTTGAGAGCCATTTCGAAAGGTTCACGTTTGTTCCCAGAATAATCACGTGTTTCAGCCCTGCTGTGCGAAAGGGAAGTTATAAGACAGAATGGCGTTTTAGCTGCTGTGCCGTGGCTTCCTTTCAGCAGAGGCAGGCTGGCAGAATTAGCAGCAAAAGGAAGAGGTTAGCGTCTGAGCAAGGGATCATGACTGAATGCCAGTCAGGGACAGAGAAGTAAGCTGGGTGCAAGAACAGCCTGACAGGAAGATGTTCAGCACATGAGATTTGTCCCATCGCAACAACACTGCGCTAGGAGAAACGGCATCCTCTGAACTTGCTGAGTATTAAAAACCCCAGAAGCCAAATTTGTGGTACTGCCTCCTGATGAAAGAAGTGCTAGGCGAGAAATTGTATGGGTTTTAATCAATCGGTCAGCTCATTAAATACTTTTGCATTTTCCAGTAAGTAAAATCAACCAGTGCCAGTGTGGTGTAGTGGTTAAGAGCGGTATACTTGTAATCTGGTGAACCGAGTTCGCTTCCCCGCTCCTCCACATGCAGCTGCTGGGTGACCTTGGGCCAGTCACACTTCTTTGAATTCTCTCAGCCCCACTCAACTCACATAGTGTTTGTTGTGGGGGAGGAAGGGAAAGGAGAGTGTTAGCCACTTTGAGACTCCTTCGGGTAGTGATAAAACGGGATATCAAATCCAAACTCTTCTTTTTCTTCAACCTTTTTTTAAAAAAGAAGACATGTTCCTTGTTTTCGCATTGACGAATGCCTATGCCACAGCAACTATATTAGTAAAGGTACTCCCTCTTATGTCAAAAGAGAAGGAACAACTCTTCTGGGATAGTGTCTGTGTCAAATTAATTAGGGGCAGCTTGTTAGCCAATGAAAAGGTTTTTAATGGAATAATTAGTTAAACATTATCCTATTTATCTAGCAATGGAGACGATGATCCTAAGAGTTGGATGGGGTAACTCTGTTAGCAGGCAGGCTGATCTTTGATGAGGCAAGTGACCCTGGTGTGGAGGCAAGCCAGTATTCAGTTTTTGTTGATCCGAACTTGGAGCTTGCCCTTGTACCTTCGTCATTTCCCCCCTATTTGATTTGGCAGTACAGTGGTACCTCAGGTTACAGACACTTCAGGTTACAGACTCCACTAACCCACGCGGGTGGCGCTGTGGGTAAAAGCCTCAGTGCCTAGGGCTTGCCGATCGAAAGGTTGGTGGTTCGAATCCCCGCGGCGGGGTGCGCTCCCGTTGCTCGGTCCCAGCGCCTGCCAACCTAGCAGTTCGAAAGCACCCCCGGGTGCAAGTAGATAAATAGGGACCGCTTACTAGCGGGAAGGTAAACGGCGTTCCGTGTGCTGCGCTGGCTCGCCAGATGCAGCTTGTCACGCTGGCCACGTGACCCGGAAGTGTCTCCGGACAGCGCTGGCCCCCGGCCTCTTGAGTGAGATGGGCGCACAACCCTAGAGTCTGTCAAGACTGGCCCGTACGGGCAGGGGTACCTTTAACCCAGAAATAGTACCTCAGGTTAAGAACTTTGCTTCAGGATGAGAACAGAAATCGCGCAGCGGGAGGCCTCATTAGCTAAAGTGGTACCTCAGGTTAAGAACAGTTTCAGGTTAAGAACGGACCTCCAGAACGAATTAAGTTCTTAACCTGAGGTACCACTGTATCTGGATGTGAAGATATTTTCAGACAAGGGCTTGGGCTGTACATCCAGGTTTCCCCTCCTTCCTGTTCGGAGGTCCTCTCAAGTTGTTATTTTCCACATTTAGGATAAATGTTACGATTCGAGGAGGACATTATTCGGACGAAGCTGGCAACAAAGTGAAAACGTGGATCTGGCCCAACAATTTGCAGAAGTGCGTCTCGAGAGCACCGTTTAAGCCAGTCTTTCTATCCTTGAACCAGAACGTTGGTGTCAGGATAGTTGAGCAAGACAGAGTAGCCATTTCTTTCCTTGCAAGGGGCAAACAGGCCAAAATCAACATAGGAGCAAAAGTAAAGGTACTTTATTTCAGAGTTAATATGGGGGAGAGTGGATGAGTTTACATCTTCTTAACAAGAGAGGGGGGGATTGTTTGGGGGGTAAATATAGAAAACGTTTTCGAAAAAGGGAATGGAGCAGTTTGCTTCTAACTTACAGAGCTACTTGAAAAACGAAGTTAAATCGGCCAAAGACTGACACATAGTTTATCTGGTTTGTACAAGACAATGCCTATAGTTCAGCATCACATGACCAAATAAACCAAAATGTCAGATGGAAGTTGGGGTTCCTCCCCACTCTAGTGAGCAAAAAGAGGGAAACAATTTATAATTTCAAAAATATTTATGAAAGCATTGACAGAGATGAATTTGTATAACCAAGAATTCAGGCTGAGACTCAGATGTTGTGGCTTATAGGATAAGTTAAAAAAAAGCAGACTGAGAACAGGCCAAGGAAGAATATTATATAAAACTTTAAAATTAAAAATCTAGTAGGTAGAACACTCTTGAGCCATGAAGTTTAAAAATTGCTTATGTAATCTGATCCATGCAGATTATCAGAACCATAACTGTTCTTGAACTTCTCTCAAGTGCACATTGCTTAGCAATATAGTTCCATACATTAAATTTCAGCAAATTTGAAAATGAGAGCAGGAACAGCATGCTTTTTTTTTTTAACAGGGAGTGCAGGAAATAGCAGTTTTAAGAGAATAAAAGGACATTGGGATGGATCCATCTAAGTTCTATTCAGAGTAGATCCAATGAAATTAATGGACCTAAGTAAGCCATTCCCATTAATTTCAATGGATCTACTATGAGTAGGAATAATATTGGACATATTAGCAAATGTCAGAGAATCCTGCCCTTCTTGAGGTTTCAGCAAATGTGGTGCCCATGTGCATGCAAAGAGGAAGGTTTCTGAAATACTCATCTGATCTGAGTTGGTTTTATGCCTTTTGCTATTTCTGCAGTTTTAATGAGGTTGAATAAAAATAGGGTTGGTGTTTTGTTTTTTGAAAGCAACTTTTTTAAAAAAAGGCTTTGGGAAGGGAAAACGGAAGGTGGCTCATCCACTTAATTCCGTGTTCTCAAGAGGGTAGGAATTAGTGCACTTTGAACTCCGCATTCCTTTTCCAATTTGTTTCTGGCTGGTTTTTTGTTTTTTTTTACATTATTTCCCCTCCCACTGGGAAGCATGAGAGGGAAATTAAAGTGAACCAACAATGCCAACTTCAGGGCTGGCGTAGTTAACCCCTGGTCTGAGGGCATGCCAGGGAATGGGGAAGTTCTCCAAACCACCCTCTTTTTTGCCTTGCCAACATCAAGGGACGTGGGTGGCACTGTGGGTTAAACCACAGAGCCTAGGACTTGCCGATCAGAAGGTTGGCGATTTGAATCCCCGTGACGGGGTGAGCTCCCGTTGCTCGGTCCCTGCTCCTGCCAACCTAGCAGTTCAAAAGCACGTCAAAGTGCAAGTAGATAAATAGGTACCGCTCCAGCGGAAAGGTAAGCAGCGTTTCCGTGTGCTGCTCTGGCCACATGACCCGGAAGCTGTACGCCGCTCCCTCGGCCGATAAAGTGAGATGAGCGCCGCAACCCCAGAGTCGGTCACGACTGGACCTACTGGTCAGGGGTCCCTTTACCTTTAACATCAACAAGGTCTGACCATCAGTAAATTCCACGTAAGAAGAGGGAATCTGGTCCTTGCCTCTCTTCACACTCAGAGAGAAATAAGACTGCAACGTTGGTCAGTCTCACAGTAACACTGATTTAATTTCCCTTGATTTAAAACAATACTCACTGTTAGGTTTCCTTCCCTGTGCGACCTTTCTGACTTTCTGCAAGCGAGAACTGCCATGTGACTTGGGAACTACATTAACTCCTTGCTTTTTTGCTTCCTTAAAAGCCGCTCGCTGAGCATCACCCGTGGCCAAAGTTTGTGTCTGAAGATGACCTCTTCCTGTTTGCCTGCCGGATAAAGATTCTCCGCATCTTTGCTAAACTGCAAGGGTGTTTAGATTTTCCTAACAACGACTGGTGGGCTAAGCTCCAGCTGCCTTCGTTTCTTTTCACTAAGGCTTTGAAGTTAATGAACCTTTGTAAGGAATGTGAAATAAGTTCTGCTCTGGACACCTTAATCATGGAAACATTAAATTCACCAGCCTGATCATGATTATGTTATATGAAGACACTTGTTTCGTTGTTCAAAGGAATATTTACCGTTATGTTGAATTCTAGAGGTATCGGAAATCATACCTCAGGATTCATTTAATAACAGTTCCATTTATGCTGGTCACATATAACACGCAGTACCTTCTTATGTTATTCAGCAGAAAAGGGGGACACGGAGCCTACTTTAGGCAGGAAGTTAAATTAGATTGGCATTTTAGTACCACCCAACTCTATGATTTAGGTGCTGTTATGGTTCTGGGTCCAGACTCTAATTGAGGAATTGAGCTTAGACAGGTGGACTCATCCATTGTGTCACAGATGCGGCTGTAATGGTCCTGGCAGCATGGCTTGGATCTTTGTGAGGTTTACAACTTACAAAGGAGCCAAAACTTCATCACATCTGATCTGCAGCATGAGTCGATTCCTATCATATACAACTTTGTACTGTGGCCTTTCACAAGCAATTGAAGGGTGTAGCAATACCAGAAACCAATTGCTTATGTGCCATGCCTGTCAAGTTTCCCTGAATAGCCCTGCATGGCCACTAATTTCTGTTCTCCGTCTTGTTAGAAAACAGGCAGCAACTCAGTGGAAGCAACAGCTATATGGGACGTCCTCCCAAGAACAGGGCGGGGGGGGGCGGTTAAGTTTAACAATTTAATAAATAACAATGTAATGCAGCAATAAGGGTGGGAGAAGAACGTAAAGGCTGGAGATAGATTTGGGTTTATATTTAAGTTTGTTTATTGATGCTTTGATTAAATTAACTGCATAGAAATTGGTACTTAAACTAGACCCAACACATTTCGCCTTCTAGCTCGTTTATCTCGCCACATGTGGAACCAGATAACCAGGCAAAAAGGAACATATATCTTACAAAGGGAAGGTAGACTGGATAACACCACGTACAAAATTCTGCGTTAGGGTAAAATTATTTGCACACTTATTCCCAAAAGGCACTTATTAAAAAGAACACTAAGAGGGGGAAAATATACGCAGCACTGTTTTCTTAGCTCACTGTTGATCTCTGCGTCACCAAATTATGGTTAACTGCCCAGTAGTGGAATAGATAGAATAGGAAGCCCAAACCTTAGTTCAGAAAACTTGGTTGCGCATTTGGACTTTTTCTGCATTACCTTTTTTTACTGATGATCAGTGCACAATAAGCTTTCCACCTGCTTTATGGTGGGTTTCCTCTCTTCCGCCTTGAATCAAGAAATGGTGAGTACTCCTCTGAAACTGTTGAAGGGAGGAGATTTAGGGGGTTGATCCCCAGATGAATTTCCTCCGCAGGGTAAGTCACTTTGGTTTATGATGTTGAAATGGGTCACTGCCAACCTGTTAGACCTGTGGGGTTTTATTTGTCCCTTTCCCTTACACTTCATCATTTTGACCAACTGGGTTCTTATATCCTTGCTGTATAGCGAATAGATAAAAGGATTTATCAGAGAATTGGCTTCTCCTAAAATGTATAACAAATCCTTCAGCTGTGAGCTCAGGATGCAGGAGGTACAAGTAGCTTTCACAATGGCAGCTACATAATAAGGGCTCCAGAAGAGGACAAAACAGATAATCACAATGAGGACTGTCCTCAGAGCTTTGAAATGGCGGAGAGGAGCAGTAGGGGTATCTGGGTGCAAGCAGACACGTTGGATCTGCTTCTGGTGAAGATAAGCAATCCTCCCCACCGAGATATGTAAACAGACCAAGGTCAGCAAGGCAGGGATATAGATGCCAAAGCAGATTATGTACAGGTAGTCACTCTTGGCTGCTGCCAGGACCCCACAGCTACCCGAGAGTTCACTCTGTTGAAGTTGTGAGAAAATAAGTGGCATGTGTCCCACCAAGAAGGAAACCGTCCACAGGACAACAAGAGAGAAGACTATAGGTTTCTTGCTCATCAGTGTAGGGTAATGAAGAGGCAGCTTCACTGCCAAGTACCTGTCCAGAGAAACCAAAAGCAAGGTGAGAATGGACCCAATGCAAGGAGTGATGCTCATGCAGATCCGCAAGAGACAAATATACAGATTTCGGTCAAATAGTGCATCTGTCGCATCATCCAAAGCTTCCCCAATGCACATCACACCAACCAGCAGATCAGCAGCTGCCAAGTTAAGGATGAAGACATAGTTTCTGCTTGGTTTCTTCTTTCTCAGCTGACAGATGACTATGATCACCAAGAGGTTGGATGATGGGATGAAGACGCTTAAGAAGGCATGTAGCACTGTACACAAGGTATCCGGCATCTTCTTTGGGAAGCAGCAGTGGAAACTACTGGGTTTAACATATGCGTTGCATACGCAACTTACAATCAATCCACAAGAGGCGACATCAGGCTAGGAGGAAACATACTACCATTGAGAAACTGGTAGAAGTAACAGCAGTAAGAAGTGATGATCCAGTGTCTAGACTCCATTGGCTCGGCTCTTCCGGTCAGATGGTTCTTTTCAAACCGCTGGGAAATGTTTGCCATTGAGAGAGATTGCCAGCATCACTGTAGCTTCCGAGTTCTTTTCCCTGTGTGAATATAGGTTTTCCTTTTTCACCTGGCAGAGGTGTGTCTGAAGATGCATGAAGGCTTCGGGCACAGTGAACTCATTGGCTTGAGGAGGAGGGGGAAAACACCTGGGGCGGGCAGTGCAGCCTTGTTCAATCAGTTCCTGAAACTGTCTTTGACGCAGAAAGATAAGGAAGGCGTTTGACAAATAGAGTGGAGAAACATTGTGAGCCCCCCCCCCCATTAAGCAGCTAAAAGGAGCTCGTGCAGTTTAAAAAGCATGCTCCGTATGCATGCAGGGAAATATTCCTGCGTGTTTATGCTATTAATGTCAATGGAGTCAAATTATTTGATCTCGGGTAGAAAACATACTTCAGTTACTACGGCCAGAAAAAGGTCATTGTTTCCAGTTTAGTGGATATTGGATGTAAATACAAGGCTAGGATGTGAACTGGTAAAAGCTCACCAGAATCCACGCTTTCCAATACTGGTTGACTTTGTTAATCCAAAAGTAAAATGGGGGCTTAGTACTTCCTACATTTTATTTAGGAATGCAGTCTTGGTGTATTTCCTTACTTGGATTATTAAGTCCCATTGAACTCAAATCTCTAATAAGACAAGAATAGGATCACACTGTTAACTTGACTAAACTCTTTTTAAAAATCAATTGTTCCGCATCCTCTAGCTGTCTTTCAGAGCAGGGAAGGCTTGGAGGTATATCACCTGCATTGCCTGCAACAAGTTCTAAATTCAATCCCTGGCAACTCCATGTATGGCTAAGAGAGCCCTCTCCTTGAAAACTGTTGCCAGTCAGTGTAGAAAAAATGCTGAACTAGCTGGATTAATACAGTGGTACTTCATTAATACAGTGGTACTTCAGTGGAAGACAGAAGTGCCTGGTATGCTCTGGTCCATGGGGTCACAAAGAGTCGGACACAACTAAACGACTAAACAACACCACCTCAGGTTAAGTACTTAATTCATTCCGGAGGTCTGTACTTAACCTGAAACTGTTCTTAACCTGAAGCACCACTTTAGCTAATGGGGCCTCCTGTTGCTGCCGTGCCGCCGGAGCACGATTTCTGTTCTCATCCTGAAGCAAAGTTCTTAACCTGAAGCACTGTTTCTGGGTTAGCAGAGTCTGTAACCTGAAGTGTATGTAACCTGAAGCGTATGTAACCTGAGGTACCACTGTATTCTGACTCTGTGTAAGGGAGCTTCCTAACACTTGCATGTTTTAGGTTGCCAAGAAATCTTGCATTTTCCTTCTAAGTTCAAGGGTATGCGTTTAGAGAGTTGTGCTTTAGGACAGGGGTAAAAAACAATGTGGGGTCTTCGAGGCGTTTTGGTCTGTAACTCCTGTCAGCCCCAGACAGCATGGCCAAGGTTGACTGACAGTTCAACAGCATCTGTTCTACACAGAACACTCGCAGGTTCCCATCCTCCAGAAATCAATGTTTTGCAATGACATTGCAATATAAAAGTGACAGTAGAGGACGAAGAGTAAGAGGAGGGGTGGTACAAGAAGGGGCAGAACAAATTAGTAAATCTCCTCCATCATCCCCCAAAGCCAAACCCAGCTTCCTGGCAGTTATAGAAACTAAGGTCTGTTGCTTATATTTCTGAGAGTAACCAGAGCAGGGCCCCAAATAGAGAGGGACAAGAACAGATAAATTATGGAAAATTGGGTGCTGGAAAATATAAGCAGTCCATAAATAGTTGCAACAAATAGAACTGTGCTCTGTTAAGGTTTGAGAGGAAGGAGAATTTTATAGTGTACGGACAAAGGTATACCCAACTGTGCTATATTTAGACAACTGCAAGGAACTGGTTCAACTCAGGACTCTAATATGTTGTCAATTTATCCTCTGTCCAAACAGTATTTTCATTAAGTTCACATTTACTGCAGTTTCCAGTTTTATTGTCAACCATTCCAAGATAGGCATCACTAGCGACTACTTGTTAATGGCCACCAGAAGAGTTTCAGTAATAGCTCCGCAAACACTGCTTTGGAGAGATTGTACCTTGTGGCTGTTCCTAAGCAATTCACACAGAACATCTGCCAAGCTTTTAGGGCCTGCAAGCTTCTAATCCTAGGTCTGTTAAACACTGGCTAGTTACAGCTATGAGAAATAGGGACCCAACAGGGTAAAGTTCATAGGACCATCCTGCAGAATTGATGATGTACTGCCTGTTGATAGTGTCCTCCAAGAGGTTTCGACTGGAAAAAAGAAAAAGAAAAGGGGTGGAGTGGGGAGAGACAGACAGAAATACAGTGGTACCTCAGGTTAAGTACTTAATTCGTTCCAGAGGTCCATACTTAACCTGAAACTGTTCTTAACCTGAAGCACCACTTTAGCTAATGGGGCCTCCTGCTGCTGCCGCGCCACCAGAGCATGATCCTGAAGCAAAGTTATTAACTCCAGGTATTATTTCTGGGTTAGTGGAGTCTGTAACCTGAAGTGTCTGTAACCTGAAGCGTATGTAACCTGAGGTACCACTGTAATCTCTTTTCAAAGGCATTACCTGAAGTATTTTTGTATGGTTTCAAAACTGCAGCACCTTGAAAACAGGAAAGGCAAGGCAACAGAATACACGTAAACTGACAGTATACAGAACATTATTTCTTGTTTAAACTCTCATTTTGGCAGGGATTGGCCGCACAAGTGCATTCTCCAAGGGCAACCATATCTTTATGGAGTCATGACTCTTTGCCCCATGCCTGACATCAGGTGTGGGAGAGGTGGGCATTGTTTCAGGTAAACAGTCTCGCAGGCCCATTTTGGTCCTCTGGCACAGGTCCCCCAACCCCCGCCCTCCACTGTAAATAACTGAAATTAAAAGTAACTCTGTTATTAAATTTTTTGAATTATGGTGCTGGAGGAGACTCTTGAGAGTCCCGTGGCCTGCAAGATCAAACCTATCCATTCTTAAGGAAATCAGCCCTGAGTGCTCACTGGAAGGACAGATCGTGAAGCTGAGGCTCCAATACTTTGGCCACCTCATGAGAAGAGCAGACTCCCTGGAAAAGACCCTGATGTTGGGAAAGATGGAGGGCACAAGGAGAAGGGGACGACAGAGGACAACATGGTTGGATAGTGTCGAAGCTACCAGCATGAGTTTGTCCAAACTGTGAGAGGCAGTGGAAGACAGGTGTGCCTGGCGTGCTCTGGTCCATGGGGTCACAAAGAGTCAGACACGACTAAACGACAACAACAACAACAGTTATTAAAATAAATGAATGCTACAAGTAAAGGGGCTTTGGAATGATCTAGTATAAATTACGGGAACAAGCATAAATTATGCTGGTGCTAGAATGTGAAGAACGGAAGCAATCACAAGATTTGTATCCATAACAAACGAAGGTTTCCCTTTTGTTTACTTGATGAATACAAACACTGCTTCCAATACATCATACCAAACCTGTTAAGAAGGGTAGGAACAAGCAGCTATTAACCTTGTAGCAGGTTAATGCCTGGGAGTGGAAGACTTGACATGAATGTGCACAGAAGGCAGCCTGGGAGGAACCCAGCTACATGTAGCAAAATAAAATTATGGAGAGGCTAAAGGACCACAACCACCAGTCAGTCTCTGTCTCAAATGCAACTCGTCCCTAGTTTTAGGATTCTTCTCTTGAACACCCCCTACTCAGTGCCGGATTTACGTATAAGCTAAACAAGCTATAGCTTAGGTCACATGGGTAGGCAAACTAAGGCCTGGGGGCCGGATCCAGCCCAATCGCTTTCTCAATCCGGCCTGCAGACTGTCTGGGAATCAGTGTGTTTTTACATGAGTAGAATGTGTCCTTTTATTTAAAATGCATCTCTGGATTACTTGTGGGGCCTGCCTGGTGTTTTTACGTAAGTAGAATGTGTGCTTTTATTTAAAGTGCATTTCTAGGTTATTTGTGGGGCATAGGAATTCATTCATGCCCCCCCAAATATAGCCCAGCCCCCACAAGGTCTGAGGGACAGTGGACTGGCCCCCTGCTGAAAAAGTTTGCTGACCCCTGTCTTAGGACTCTCTTGGGGGCCCCCAAAAAAATTAAAGGGAAAAAAAACCTGGATGCACATTTCCAAAATACAAGTTCAACAATTACTTTGATAAAATACATATTTTGTTATGTGCAAATAGCTTTAGATCCCCATTAGGTCCATAATTTACCACATAGCAAATATTCAACACAAAAAAAGTGACAATTTGCTGTTGACAAAGGACAGCTGGACATAGAAAGGGCCTCATTACCTTCAGTAGCTTAGGGCCTTATCAAACCTAAATCTGGTTCTTCCCCTACATGAGTGTTAAATTCCAAGTTGATTAAAATTCTGGTTCATTCTCACAGTAACTACCTCATTGACTAGTACATCAGTAAGTCCTCATCTCTGTTTTACCCCAGATTTCCAAGTGGGGCAACAGTGGGCTCACTGCATGGCCAGAAGCTACAAGACACAAACTTCCTAAGTGGGAAGAGATGCTGGACATTGTGCTTTTTACACAGCCCTGTTGCAATGCCATGAAGCTAGTTTTAAAACCCTGCACTCTCAAAGCAGGAAGGTTCAAAAATAGTGTTGATGTTCTGTACGGCTACAGTTTATGAAAATTAACAACCCAGCAACACACCTGAGCTACCACAAACACAGGTGCACTCTGCTTGCTTCATACTAAAACTGTTTGTTCACATGGAGGTACATTATTCATGGGAAAAGAAAATCCTTCCTTCACAAGACACATTCAGGGTGAGGGGAGGAATACGGTATACTGAATGCTGAGAGTTGGGGTGCATTTCACTGGTTATTCAAAAGGCTCAGGAGCTGATCAGCAGATTTGTCAGTAACATTTGATGGTCTGTAATTTACAACTCAAGCTGTGTTAAAGCCAACATGCACATGTAACTCATATCCATCAAGTATCTGTTTCACTCAGATACATACTGAAAACTTCAAAGAAAAATCACGTCACAAGATACTCAAATTAGAAACAAAACAGGTGAACGAGCATTAAAAGCTCGTATTAAAGTTAGCTACATATGGATGAAAATTTCAGGCGTTTTAGTTACTGCCTACTGAATAAATAGCTTTTCCTTCACTAACTCACTAGACCAACAGTGATAAAATAAATAAAATAATGATAATTTACTTGTACCCCGCCCATCTGGCTGGGTTTCCCCAGCCACTCTGGGCGGCTTCCAACAAAGATTAAAAATACATTAAAATCTCAGACATTAAAAACTTCCCTAAACATAACCCTAAACTTCCCTAAAAATATACAGCTTTTCTAACAACATAGTGGCATAAAACTACTTACTTAGATGAAAATGCAATACACTACAGAATAAATTTACTGCAGTTCCTGTTGAAAAGTACAATGTCTGCTACAGGAGACGAATCACTTATTTGACTACTCCTGCACAGGTTTCCTGCATGTGGAGACTTCTTACTCATTCTGATTATTGTTGCCCAAGTTCCACCTTTCAGTTAGTGCGTCACAATGATGATTGTTTATTTGCATATGCTTGCCAAATGCTGAGGAAAAGATGCTGTAGATCAAATGTTTTCTCGTGAACATCAACATTTTATGAACTTCAGACTTGCATATAGTGCTAGCAATCTACTTGCAGAAAACATTTTAGGTATTTGTTTCTTTTTAAAATGAAACCCATGACTTTTCTACAATTTGGCTACAACAGACACAAGAAACCAATTTTTTAAAAAATATGTTAGCAAAACTGAGCTCCCCTCTGCATTTACCTGGGGTCCCTAGTCTGGCTATAGAGGGGAAAAACCACTGTTCATTTGTGTATGTATGCCTGTATGTAATTCAAGGCTTCAAAATGTTACCTTGTTTCAGTTTAATTCTTCACAGATATATCATTAAACATGTGATATAAAAACACAGTGTGTGTGTCACAAATTACATTCTATTTTTGTTTTGCTCATTCTAATTTTTTTACCCAGAATTCAGGTCTAAACAAAAGGATGAGTTATGTTTTCGCCACCTCCAGCTGCTTCCAAGTAAGTTACCGTGTTAGGTGGTCCCCCCCCCCCAATTCTCCTTGCAATCGCAGAGTTGCTGTATAAGGAATTTGCAAAATACGCTTGAGCTTGTGGAATCCTCTGGTGGTTTACAATCCCTTCTGTAAATAGAACAGCTGCACTGGATCCAACCAAATAGTCTTTTCTGCACGGCTTAAATATAAATAGTTGTGGTTTCTCATAGACTTCCAACACATTCTTCCAGCTCAGTAATTAGCATGTTTAATTTCCTTTCTATCTAAGAAGCCAGAAGAGAGGAAACGGCTGTTACTAGGCTAAAAGTATTCTATCACAGGCAATGTATTTGGTACTTTCCAAACCTAAGTCTCTAACTGTAACTTGATGTGTTGTGAATTGCAGAAGTTGAAGTTTCAAACAAGAAAGCCACCATAAACATTAAACATTGTCTTGTGCTTTTCTTCTTCTTCTTCCAGCACAGTCGCCAAATAGACAAATTCATAAAATGATTCAAGGTCTTTCACACAGTAGATGAAATTTCTTTATTTAAATTAGTTTGCTTAGCTCATATTTAGGACAGAATAAAGGCCAAGCTATTTGATCATTTAGAGTGGCCCAGAAACAGACTTCAAAATTGCTGAGGGAATTCAAACAGCACTTGGTCTTCTTTGAAGTCATGACACTTAGGTACTTACTCTGCATATAGTTTTGTTTCTATAATTTATTATACAATGCACCATTCACTCAGCAATATACTCTGAAAATATACAAAACTTACATAACCAAATCTGCAATGTTTGACAGCCACCAATTTTTATCCAGACCAGTTTAAAGGATAACCAGTACTCCTAAGAGATCAATTTTAACTACAAATGGAACATAAATTTCACGCACAGTAGATCAGACAACTTTTCCAATGGAAAAAAAAAAGGTTATTAAAGCATTTTGTCATCTTCTTAGAAATGAAAATAAAAGTGTTGGATCTAGGCTATGGGTTGTATCCAACATTGGTCATACTTGGAGCAGACCCAGTAAATAATGAACTGTTCTGTTAATTTCAGTGGGTCTAGTTCAAGTAGAACTTAGCTGGTGTAGCCCTAAGTTAGATGCACTTAAACTACATTGATTTCAATTGGAACTAAGTGCAATTAACTATGGATCGAACCCAAACATTGTTATCGGTTAATGTCTGCATTGTCTAGCTCTAGAGTGGTTGAATTAACTTTTAAAAAAACAACTATATAGTATTATTGCACTCCTTGAATGTGCAGTACTTTGAAATATACCAGCACTGAAAGGGGTCTTGCATTAAGATATTCAGGAACAACATGAAATCGAGGAGAGCATCCAGTCTGTACCAACAAGTATTCTGTCTTCAGTACAGGCCGTCATTTATTTCGTTCATGTTGTCTTTTGAAAGTGTCGCTTAATGTCTGAAAAACAGAAATAATGAATTGATATTTAATATACATGCCACCAGGCTACTACTACATGAGACAACAAGTGTAGAAGATATCTAGCAAATGAAAGAGCTAACACTGACAGTCACCAAGTTCCAGAAGTTCCATGTTAAGCCTATGTTGAATATGTGTATGAAACATTAACTGCATGAAAGTTAGTTGCGATATTTTTTTGCTAGCCTGCAAAGAGGCCAATAGTCTATTTTTCCAGAGGAAGAGAAGCTCCTTCCTCCACAGCCAGCACAGAAAAACAACAGTCTGGAAAACAGGGATGGAATTATCTGTCCCTGATCCACCAGCCCACTTACTTGCCTGCATAAAATCCCTTGTCAGCCAAAAGCTATCAGGCGAGTGATTAAATACAGTGGTGCCTCGCAAGACGAAAAGAATCCGTTCCGCAATTCTCTTCGTCTAGCGATTTTTTCGTCTTGCGAAGCAACCCCATTAGCGGCTAAGAGGATTAGCGCTATTAGCGATTTAGCGGCTTAGCGGCTATTAAAAGATTAGCGGCTAAGCTGCTAGAAGGCTATTAGTGGCTTAGCGCCTTTGAAAAAGGGGGGGGGAAAGCGGGGGGAAATGGCGAGACTCGCAAGACGTTTTCGTCTTGTGAAGCAATCCCATAGGGAAATTCGTCTTGCGAAGCGCATCGCAAACGGAAAACCCTTTCGTCTAGCGGGTTTTCCGTCTTGCGAGGCATTCGTCTTGCGGGGCACCACTGTACAAGGATTATTTATTACCATTTTATCTTGCAAATCAAATACCTAGCTGAGTAATCTTCAAAACAAACTTACAAGAAGTTTTCAGTACTGATGGATGGGGCTATGATCTATGGTGTGGCATTTGCTCCATGTGCACGTTGAGTTTCATTTCATTATCGAGGATTTGAACAAGTTGCTGCATGGAAGGAAGGTGCCCAGACTGTAGCTTAGACCACACTGGAACATCTAAATAAGAAGTGTAGGAGGTAAAGAACATGATTAGCATATTAAACTACTTTTTGTACAGTGTAGGAACTGCCAGTTGCTGCTCTTATTTTATGCTTGCCAGGATATCCAGAGAAAAACAACTGATACAAACTTTTGCATACAGTATAGGTTCACTCTCACCGCCGTCTCCATCCCACAAATACCAGTTTCTCGCCAATGTACATGCAATGAAGTATTACCAAGCTTCTGAAGAAACTAGATTTAAAAAATATACACTTCTGTTTACAAGGCTTGCATGAAGAATTTGTGTGCAAAGTTCTTTCTTGACAAGCAGATTACTCTGTCAATGTACAACTTACACTGCAGAGGTCTTTTAAATGGCACATTACTTAAGAACTGTTAATACTATAGCTTTAGTTATTTGTGAAAGTTTAGGGATCACTCACACTAGTCACAATTTTGACATAGGGTCATCTCAAATAGACCCTTTATTCCGGTCTTCTGAACCAAATGCAGCTGGTAGCTTCATAAATACTTAACAATGGGTACAATTAACACAAAATCCCTCTTAAGCTAACGAGAATACACAAAAGCTGTTCAGAACTCACCATTTAAAGTTATTTCAAATGCACCTGTTGACATACAAATGTTCTCAGTCATGCTGCTCAGGAAGAAAACCATCATACAAGCATAGACCTAAAAATTAAACACATTAATCTAAATGCTAGTCTTTAAATGATGCAACATATTTATCAGTTCAGCTCTATATTCAGCTGATACTAATATTTGGTGAAAGTAATCTCCTTTCTTTGCGACTCTAAATTAAAATTTGTTCATTTTCCTTCCCTGTCTTGAATTCAGAGGGTTCATTTATAACACTTAAGATAAATACCAAGTGATAACCAGTATGACACACTGATTGCTAGAATAAAATCAGGACGGTTATTATTTCTAAAATAAAACCCCTTTTTATAAAGCAAGTAAGCAAATACACATATGCTCTACATAAGTTGTCTTACTACTATTCTGTTTCAAACCCTAGAGGCATCGTTCCCTTTACTCCAGAATGTTAAATGTGCTTTTGGCGCTATACCCAAAGGATAAAATGATGCAATCTTCAGCAACAGGGCATAAAAAGATCTCATGGTGAAAGATTTATGTTTCAGCTCATATTAAGATTGCAGCTTCTTGTACATGGATTAATTATCCAAGATCATGTGGTTATACATTTACCCCATTACTTCATAAATTTAGTTTTTTTCAGAATTTCTAATACTAAAGATACTACTTAGACCAGAATCCTTGCCTCATCTGAAAAGTAGTGCTCCTGTTTTCTGCTCTTCTAGGTCTTCTGCACCAGCCACCAAAGAATAAACCATAACTAATGGTGACATATTCTTATTTGCAGCTCAAAAAGCTGATTATAACCAGTAGAAAATTATTTTTTCCAGCCCTCTTAAAGACATACAATCGTACCTTGGAAGTCGAATGGAATTCATTCCAGAAGTCCGTTCAACTTCCAAAACTGAATCAAAGCTTCTGATTGGCTGCAGGAAGCTCCTGCAGCCAATCAGAAGCTGCAGAAGCCCCGTCAGATGTTCAGGTTCCAAAAGAACGTTCGCAAACCAGAACGATCAATTCCAGGTTTGCAGCATTTGGGAGCAAAAACATACGAGTTCCAGGGCGTTCCACAACCAAGGTACGAATGGGGGGGGGGGAGAGGTTGTGTGTGTTCTGAAGCAATTTTCCCTTCAAGCTATTATCAAAGTGCATGTTTGTGGGAGCATTTGGTTGTGTGAACACCAGGAAATCAATCTCCACTCCATGAAAAAAGTGATGTTGTAAGAGGAAAAAGTAGTCTCTTTACCTTATTTTCTTGGCCCCACTGCCAGACGCTTGGAGCTTGCATGCCAAAGAAAGCAAAAGGATCCTTGCCAACAATAATGAAGCCTATTAACACTAGTTTGAAGACTGACAGGAAAGATGCTATATGTCTGGGAGAAAAAAGAGATGTTAGTCGCTAAAGGCTATTCCTAAACTTATCAAAAACGACAAAGATTATGCCATACCCAGCTGCATGTCATTATTCCAGTAACTTTAGTGATATTTCATCTTATCAATATTACGTATTTGAAAACGTTGCATTTAAAATGCAAGACTACATGTAACTCCCCACGTGTGTTCAACTTGTGCATGGTGCTGGGAAAGAAATAATTCAATTTAAACTGCAAAAAGGTGTGGAAAGAGCAGGGAAACAGCAGTCCCATGAGCCTTTGCACTGCCCTTTGAGGCCTGCGGACAGTTGGAATTTGGATAGCAGGACAAGAATCTGACCCACAGCCAAGCACCTTGGGGGTACCAGTCTACCCAACTTGTCATTGTTTCCACATCATCCTGCAGTGATGAGGAAGACTGAGAGCCACTACTGCCACCATTCATGCCAGTCTGGTAAGTGGTGCTGGTTTTTCAAGGGTTTCCAGAGGCTTAAAAGGGTGTTTACAGGCTTTTTAGATGCATGTTCCCCACTATATATGATTTCAAGTACACATGCAGTACCCAGGAGCATAAGCTCCCTTGTAACTGGGGAGTCGTCTGTATTCCAATTAATGAATGCAATTCTGGGCTGAGATCTTAGTTCTTCAGGTTGTCATAATGCAAAAACCTCACCACTTCTTTATGCTCTCTCTTCTGCATCATCATTAGTGTAAGCATTCTAACCACACCAAAAGGAATCAATCATTACTAGTTTGCAAGTGTGGGTTGATTAGTTTAGCTAGCCTCATGAAACTGAACTCGTGCCATAGGTACCAAATTAGATAAACAAGAGGAATAATAGGTCTAAACTCATGTCTCTGTCATATTTTAATTCATAATAAACTTACCTATAAAGAGGCTGAGGGAGATAATTTTCCCCTTCAATGCGGATGTCTGGGTACCGCTGGCTAATAACCTGCATGTACTCCTCAAACACCCGTCTGTATCCTCAGGAAACACTGAACAGAAATATTTCATTATAATTAGTTGGTGTGTGGTTAAGCATAAACATAAAGATTATTTATTTGTAGGTAATCAATTGGAATTAGCATGCTTCCGGATTTCCCTAAAAACAATTTACTCCCTCAACTTCACCATCCTCATCTGCCCAAATGTTTCTTCGTCTCCATCACAACTCCCACCGGCTTTTCCCCCTCTGAACAGTGGTGACACCTCTCTCCCCCCCCTTAAAGTCTTTCCTCAAAATCTACATTTTAATGCACTGCAAATTACTTTGAACACAATTCTGTAACTGTAAAAGTATCATGTAAATTAATATTGAATCTAGTCTTTTATGTGGCATTTTGGATTACCCCTCAAATAACCAACTTTGAAATGCAGGCAACTGCATTTTTACACATTAAGCTCTAAACATGGTCTATTTTAAACAGTAAATTCCCTAAGGAATAAGGCCTGTTTAGTTTTACCTATAGTTTGGTATGGTGCTACGTACACTGATGTATAAAAACTTTCACAGGTAGCTTTTGGGACATTTTATCCCAAGGATAAAAGCCTGCTTCAAGTCCATCTCTGTCAGTGCTAGAAATTAGCCAAGTGCATTTTGCGACTAGCATGGGTTCAATTGTAGCCAGGTGGAGATCTCTAGGTGCCAGGTTGTAGACTAGGGAAGGCAATCTAGGTTTGTCTGGCAGGGCAAAAAGCCCAGAATAAAACTTAAAATTCTTACTGATGCTAAAGACAGAGGGGGGGTTGCCCTGCCAGACTTAAAACTTTATTATGAGGCAGCAGCTTTTTGCTGGCTGAAAGAATGGCTACTTCTTGAAAATACAGATGTTTTGGATCTTGAAGGGAATGATAATGTATTTGGGTGGCATGCATATCTATGGTACGGCAAGATAAAAGCGCATAAGGCATTTAAAAACCATATTGTCAGAAAAGCTCTGTTTAATGTCTGGATAAGGTATAAAGACTTTTTTGAGAATAAAACTCCAAGGTGGCTATCACCTATGGAGGCGAAAGCCTTGAAAAAACTTAACATGGAAGCCAAATGGCCGAAATATTGGGAAATTTTAGAACAGGAGGGTGATAAATTGAAACTGCAGAGTTATGACAAACTCAAAGAGAAGGTGCGAGACTGGTTACATTATTTCCAAATAAGAGAGGTTTATAATTCGGATAAAAAAATTGGTTTCCAGGTGGAAAAATCAAAGTTAGAAACAGAACTGTTAGAACCCAATGCTAAGATACTTTCAAGAATGTACAACTTGCTGTTGAAATGGAACACTGAGGAAGAAACGGTAAAATCTGCAATGATAAAATGGGCACAAGACATAGGTCATAATATTATGTTTGCTGACTGGGAGAAGTTGTGGACCACTGGGATTAAATTTACAGCATGTAATGCCTTAAGAGAGAATATTATGAAAATGATGTATGGGTGGTACATAACCCCAGTCAAGCTTGCAAAAATATATCATCTGCCCGATAACAAATGTTGGAAATGTAAAGAGATTGAAGGTACATTTTTCCACCTTTGGTGGATGTGCCCAAGGATTAAGGCCTTCTGGGAAATGATATATAATGAATTGAAAAAGGTATTTAAATATACTTTCCCGAAGAAACCAGAGGCCTTCCTCCTGGGCATAGTGGACCAATCGGTGTTAAAGAAGGATAGAACCTTTTTTATGTATGCTACAGCAGCAGCAAGAATCCTCGTCGCAAAGCATTGGAAGACACAAGATCTACCCACCTTGGAAGACTGGCAGATGCAACTAATAGACTACATGGAGGTGGCGGAAATGACTGGCAGAATCCAAGACTAGGGAGAGGAGTCAGTGGAGGAAGATTGGAAGAATTTTAAAATTTATTTGCAGAAATATTGTAAAATTTTTGAATGTTGAAGACATTGAAATGAATCGCAGGGGCTTTAGCAATCAAGTAAAATGTAAGATTGGATTAATAACAGATAAAATAATAGGATATGAATTTGCTGAATTAATTTTTAAAAAGGATACAAGAACGGGAGACGTGAGGAAGTCGGGAAAATAAGTTAATTGAAGATGAGAAATTAAGAAAGAGGGAATTTTTGTTTTTTGTTATTATATGTGTTTTTATCTCTTTTTTCTCTTTTTTCTTTTGATGTGCTTAATGTTTGTATTTTTGTATCGTATTTTGTGATTTTGTATTTTCTTTGTCTTTGTATTTTTTCTTGAATGCTTTTTTATTGTGAAAACTTAATAAAATATTATAGATAAAATAAAAAAAATAGGGAAGGCAAAATATCACTTAAAGGATCTGAAATATTTTCCTTGAAACGTGGATTTGTTTTATTCTGGATTGTTTTATTTGATATTTTAATGTTATAAACTGCTTTGAGATTTGTTCTTTAAAATATGAAGTGGTACAGAAATTAAATAAATAAATAATAATAATAAAATAATAATAATAAAATAATAATAATAATAATAATAATAATAAATACCATAAAAGGTGCCTAGATATCCCATTGTGGCAGGTGCAACCTAGGTTTAAGGTGCCATTTGTAGATTAGATTATATATCTGAGTTTCTAACACTGATCTCAGTGTGTGTGTCCCATTTCCCCTACTTCTGGTTCTGGGGAATCAACTAAATATTTTATCTAAAGTCATGCAATAGCTTGGATGGCAGCAAGAGCCTTCAGTATGATATGAAAATATTAACCAAGCCAGCTAGAAGGCGAAATCCGAACTGCATGAGAGCTTCCAAAACATGTCTGTAGGTAATAATTAATTCCAATGCTGAAACTTAATGAGTCAACGGTTTGTTTTCCTTGAAAGTATCCGCAAAAAACAATAAGAAAATGGAATACAGCCGAGAACTCTCCAAGAAGAAAATGACAGAAAATTAAAACACACTTTCTCCTCATGTCACAATACCACCTGGAAACTTGATTGTTGTATCAAAACTCTTTACGTTTTCGGTGTTCCCACTACAGCTCTGGGTATTATCTCTTCTGTTCCACATCTTACATTTCTAAAGAGCCCAAGGACTTTAGTAATTGACTTCTCTTGTAATGCTCACTGTACAGCTATGCCTTAGTAAAAACTATTACATTAAGCAATCACTACAAAAATCACCAGTAATGGCCCTCTAAAGAAAACTGGTTTTTTAAATTAAAGATTTCTTAGTTTACAAAAAGATTTGCATTGTCTCTTTTTTCAAGTCGTCCTTTCTGCATCTCAGTTTCATTTGTTGTGAGACATTAGTGTTGCATGCAATATTAGGTTGAGAAGAAAAGAGGGGTGGAGATAGAGAGGGTTTGTGAGGTGATGCTTCTAGTCTTCTTTTGAGTGTATATGTGGGGTTTTGTGTCAGCGTCACTTGTATAGGCTCTTACTATTCGCTTGTTATATTTTCTTGATGATGAGAGAGGTTGGGGGTGGCCTAGGGTGTGGTTGATTGTTTTTGGTTGGCTGTAGTGAGATTTGTTTATGTGCGTGAGCGTGTGAAGATGTGGATTTTTGGATCAGGTTAGCCATATTGATTTGTAGGCTATCAGTGGACTCTTGCTGTTGTCTTGTTGAGCTATGTATGTGATAAAGGAGAACCATACAGGTGAAGGCATCTTCTTCTATTTGTCCCTGTGTCAGTTTCAGCTGACTGGTTAGTTTTTCTAGTAAGGCTGTTTCCCGTATTATTTGATAGCACTGGACCATGTTTACTCCCGAATGGTCTCTCCAGTGTCTGGCTGAGGCTTCTGGCTGCTGAGAGTAGGTGGGTTATGAGCTCTTTATAATGTTAGTGGGCATTATTATCTTGGAAGATGTTCGGTAGGGCCAGTTCTGGGGTGACTTCTAATACTTGCTTAGTTATTTTGAGCATTTCTTGTATGACTGATGTCCAGAAGAGTTGGATTTTGGGGCATTCCCATCACATGTGAAGGTATGTGCCCGTGGAGGTGCAGCTTCTCCAGCATTTTGCTGGAGTTTCAATCTGAGTTTCAGGGTGAGTTTTTTTCTTTTAACCAACATTGATTTAAAGGGAAGTTTAGACCAGTGTTTCCCAACCTTTTTTGGGCAAAGGTACACTTGTTTGATGAAAAAAATCTCGAGGCACACCACCATTACAGCCCCGTGACGTCAGGGCGCAGCGTCACTTGAGCTCCTTCTCCTGCTCGTTCAGGGCCACAGTGGCGTAGCGTGGGTTGTCAGCACCCGGGGCAATGCAAGTAATTTGCGCCCCCTAACCCGTGGATTTGCGCCCCCTAACACTAACCCCCAGATGTTGCACCCGGTGTGGCCGGCCCCCCCTGCACCCCCCACGCTAGGCCACTGATCCATAGCTAAAAGCAGAAGTCGACAAATGTGTCCTGTTTTTTGCTCTTCAAAATATGGCAACCCGAAGACCCCCAGGGACCGTCCAACCAGCCTAGGAAGTGTGCTCTGGTCGCGGGGGAGGAGACACGAGGCATTGCCATCCACACCTGGAATTGAGGAGGAGCTGGAAAGGTCCTTTGGTTTCACACCCAGGACCCATTTTTTCTCTCTTCTTTTGAGAAAGGGGTGGGAAACGGGATTTGGAGGGCGCATGTGTGCGCGTAGCTGAGCTCCAGTTGCTCTGGGCATTTCTGGACGGCGCTGGTAGCGTCTCTCCTAACCCCTCCCCACCCCGGTCTCCAGCCCCCCCCCCCGCCCAAAGGCTTCCCCCTACCTGGCCAAAGTTCCACCCGAAGCTGGAGATGCGGTTCGCGCTGCCCACGAAGAGGACGCCGAACTCGGAGAGGACGTATTCCTTGCGCTCAGCGCAGCGGCGCAGCTAGCCGCTCAGGGGCCCGGGGCGGCGCGCGCGTCCTGCAGCCAGGGGCGAGTGCCATGGGGGCGAGCCATGGCAGGGCGCGCTGCGTGGAGCCTCGCTGCAGCCTCCCCCTCAGCTGTAGGGAGGCTGAGGCGGTGGGCAGAGGCCAGAGCGGAGCTTGCGGGCAGTTCGCCCGCAGACGCATGGCTCAGGCACGCTGCAGGCGCCGAGGTGTGGCGCCCAGTGCCCCCCGCCTCGCCTAGCTACCAGTGGCATAGGAAGGGGTCTGCGGTGGGTGCGGGGCTGAAAGGACAGACAAGGCTCCAGCAACCACCCCCACCGCCAAGTCCGCCGGTCCTGCAATCCCTTGCACGCTGACTTGGAAGTACAGTGGTACCTCGGGTTACATACGCTTCAGGTTACAGACTCCGCTAACCCAGAAATAGTACCTCGGGAGGGGCAGAGAGCTGCGAGTGCGCCCCCCGCAGATGTTGCGCCCGGTGCGGCCGGCCCCCCCTGCACCCCCCACGCTACGCCACTGCAGGGCCGGGTCGCTGCCATGAGGGAAGGGCGCCGGGGCGCTGCTGCTGCTGCCGCCACCGCTCCCGGCAGGCATGGGCCCAGCTGAGGCAGCGGCGGCTGTTGTGGTGGTGGCGGCGATAGCGGGTGGAGGAGGGGGCGGCGGCGGGGGAGGCGGCGGCGGGTGGAGCAGGAGGGTGGCCGAGGCCGGTGAGGGAGTAGGGTTGCCCGGGGCTTGAGGAGCCGTCGCCGGGAGTTGCTGCTGCTGTTGTTGCTGCTGCTGCCCGGACATGCCGGCCTCCTCCTCGTCCGCTGTCTCGCGCTCCTCCCTTTTGCGCGCGCTGCCCCGCCGCCGCCCCATTGGCCGGGTCCTGTCAGCTGATCCTGTGTTATTTCCTGTGTGTGTGTGTGAGGGGAGAATGGAGAGAGAAACCTCGGCACCACCACCGCGGAGCCGCCCCCGGCTCGACGCGGATCCTCGCCGCCGCCGCCCCGCCTCTCGCCGCCCGACTCGCCCGCCTCCCTCCCACGGCACACCAGGCAATCTCTCGCGGCACACTAGTGTGCCGTGGAACACCGGTTGGGAAACACTGGTTTAGACCACATTCTAGTCCATTGTGTGGGGTTAACCTCATAGCCTATGTCATCCTCTCATTGTTTATTGCCTACGTTGAGGGGGTTTGTGGGATTTTGGAGCAGTGTTTAGTATATTGTGGATTCCATCCCCTTGCCATGTCCATTTGTTGTTAGGAGGAGGTTTTTAAGAAAACTGTTTTGAAGCAAACTAGTCTCTAAAATGTTTCGAACACTAGCACAAATAATCCACAATTTCCTTCCAGGAAATTTATACATAATGGTGATCAGGTCATAAGGATACTGTACACCAGAAGAACAAAATTTCCAGATGATGTTTATGATTCTAGCCTTGAGTTTCCATTACTTGCCTCCCAGTTTGATTCTCTTCTGAGTTTTATTTTGAGAGCCACAGTTTTGAGAGCCTCATGGTTGTCCTCTTCAAAGACAAGGGAGATTTGTTTTAGGTTTGTTTGTTGTTTTTTAAAGAAAAGGAAAACTGGGATTTTCACATTTATAACAGGGCTTCTTGATTTAAAAAAAGAAGCTAAAAAGCTACTGAGGAATATACACAATTCACAAATATTACTCAAAACATTCAGTAATAGAACTGGGAACCTAGAAGACTAATGTGAAATGTTTTTTAAATGACTCTGCTTTTCTTTCCCTTTGGTCCCAACTGTGGTGCGTTGCTATGCTGATGTAACACTGCTAACACAAGGAGTAACAATGCCTGAAAAAAATTGCAATAAATAGATGGTGAAACTTTAAAAATGAAGAATGTTTCTAACACAAGAATGAACAATGCTGAAGCTGATAAAGAAAGCCTGAGGAAAGAACACATTAAAGAAAACTGGATTGCTAGATATGGGCAAATGCTGAAAAACTGCTTGAAATTCAGAATTCTAACCATTACTCCATTAAATAGTTATTTTTAGAGGAAAGTACTAACATTTTAGGCCCACACTTTAATTGACTTTCCTATATTTGCTAATTCCAAATCCATTATTCATACTCAGACTGAAGTCTCATATCCAAATAGCAGTTTGCATATAAATATATTATTAGCAACTTTGTTAATACTGTAAAATGTTGTTTGTGACTTGTCTAAGTTTTACAACTTTAGCTACAAAAAGCCTTACTGAAACCCATCACTAACTACAAATTGCTGTTTAGAAGTTCCTTTATATAAAACATTGTGCAATTCTAAGCATGTTTGCTCAGATACGAGCCTCAGCAACTTCATTAGGACAGTCTTTTATACAGTATAAGCTTACTCTGGATTGGAACCCAAAGCATCGACCCAATGTACACAGATCTAGGACTTCAGTTCAATGAACATGGTGGGACTGACTTTTGGGTAAACATGACAGCATTTGTGTTGCGTGTATTTGGCTTTCATAAATATAAATACAAAAGTACAGACTTAATGGATCACAAACCTTATGACAGATCTGAGTATCCAAAGGAAAAGAGCACGGTTTAGAGAAGTACCATTTGGCAGCTCCCCTTTTACAAGTCAACACATTATGTATACCTTTAGGTCCTAAACAAGAACTAAGGTTCCTTTCATGTTATAAACTGCTTCCCTCAGTATAGAATCCTCACATATACTGGTGTGTGGACAAACCATGTCCTCCCAGCGTTAGAAGCTCAGATATATAAGCTAGGCACCAAACAGCTCCTTAAACCAGGGTTATAGTCGCCAAAACAATGTCTAGTTGCCATTGCAGGACAAGACGGCTCTAAAGTCTTATTTTTCAATGATGGACTGACTATGATTGATTCTCAGTTAAACATCTAGCTAGTTCAGATGACAACCTTGAGTTGGGTTAAGAGCTTTGAGAACTTAAAGAAGAAAAGCAACTTGATCCAGGGACAGTCCACACATATATTGTCCTATTCCAACCTATTTTTCTTAATGGTGACTGCTCCTGCTCAGGCTGCACAGAAAAAGCATTTTGGTTCCAGAAATTCATTCCTATCGCACAGATAAAATATAACTGATAGAATTCTACAGGATGGGGTATTAATATATGAAAACAGACCAAATCCAATGATCCCAAGGCATGCACTTCTAGATGGTAGAGGTGTCAGGTGCCTAGGCATCTTCCTTTGGTTGCAAGTGATAGAAAAGCCACCTGGCTAATTTCAAACTCTGCCTCACCTGCAGCGTCCAAGTGCCTATACTGCCCCCTCGATCTTGCACCACCGCAGAGTTTCTGAAAGCCCTTACATGAACACCTTTTTTATCACCAGGCACCCCCAACTCCCCCCCAGTCAACATAGTCCCACCAATCCGCCCTGCTACTCACACCACTTCTCATCCTCAAATCCCAACCTAATTGCCAACACCAACGTGGCCTCAATCTATTAATTGCTCAGGGCCTCCTTGTCTTTCCCCATCCTATTGAACACCTATCCACCTCAAGCCCTATATTTCACAATATATATATTCAAGGTGAGCTCGGCACAGCACCGAAAGGACAGCATTGCCCAACCCTCCCTCCTCTCATTTCAGCTTCATGCCTCCTGCCTATCAGAAAGCCAACATTATCGTAGCAACCCTAATGTCTTCCATCAAGGGCCACAGTATCCTAAGCCAGTCGTCTTCTACTGGTGGGCCATGGCCTGATCCGAGGTGGGCCAAAACAGCTGCACTACCGCCATACAGATATTTGGGGTGGATGTGTGTTGGGGGGGAGGGGAGAGATGATAAGAAGAAATAGGATCCCCAGATGCATGTTTATTTGAGGTTAAAGGTGGGTCTAAAAGGCTAAAGCGATTGAAATCGGGGGCGGGGGGGGGAAACTGCCCTGAGACCTCCGGATATAGGGGGTATATAAATTTAATAAATAGTAATAAGAGGCAGAGACGATTCCTGCCCTGGGGAAACAACTCTTATCTAAATTCCGACGTAGCCTGTCCTCTACTTTCCCCGAGGCCTTAAGGGGCTTCTCCGCACCTTCATGTGCGGACATGCCGCCCTTCGCCCCCCAACACCTCCCCAGGGGCCCCCTAATTCTCTCTCTTCCCCCCACCCCAGACGCCCCGCGTTGTCAGCCTTTCCCTTCGCCCCCTCCTCGCTCGCCCTTCGCCTCCCTTCCCTTTCCGGCCTCCGCAGGGCGAGGCTTCGGCGGGGAAGGGAGGCCAGAGCGACGGAGCGCGGTCGGCTGTGGGTTCGCCCTCCCACCCCCGACGGAGGAAGGTCTGAGGAGGAGGAAGGAGCAGGAGGCCTCTCACCAGATCTGGAACTTGAGCAGCGGCCCCGTCGCGTAGGCCATGCGCAGCTTCTTCCCGGGCGGCAACCCGTCCGGCTGAGCGCCAGAGCCGCCCAGCCCCGCAGCCAGCAGGAACAGCAACGCCAGCGCCGGCTTCATCTCGTCCTCTTCTCCTCCTCCTCCGCGCGACCACGGCCGGCTTTATAAACGCTCCTCGCTCCGTTTCCCTCTACCCCCCTCCCACCTCCGCACGCACACCGCCTCGCGCTCTGCCGCTAGCGGCCGGGGATCACGTGAGAGAGGGCGCCCGCAGCGCGCCTGCGCCAGCTTCCACCTATCCCCGGCCGCGGAAAGAATGGCGCCCACCCACCCCCCCATCAGTCGACGAGTTTGCCTCACGGGTGTTGTACATACGGGCTACTCGCGCCCGGCTGAACAGCAGGGGGACGTCCGTTGCTCTGCCAAAATGGGAGACCCTAACCATCCCCAGAGTGGCTTACGTGCGGCATTAAAAGCAGTTGAAACAAAGCTGTCTCTCCCTACAGGCTTACATTCTAATAAAATCATCATCAGTGGGTTTTTTAAAAAAAATGTTTAGGGGTACTCTTATTTTCCTACCCATATTGAAATACTTTCAATGAGGCCAAACTTAGATTCACAAAATGTTTAGGGGTACACGTCCCCTCAGAAAAAAGCACTGATAATAATAAAGCAAGATTTATTCAGGGTGCTCAGGGTCATAAAATTTTGGAGTTGTTGGCAAGGGACCTTGCGGGTCATCTAGTCCAACCCCCTGCAATGCGAGAATCTCCACTAAAGCATCCATGAGAGATGGCCATCCAACCTCTACTTAAAAACCGAGTCCACAGTCTCCAGAGGGAGACCGTTCCACTGTCAAACAGCTCTTACCACCATAAAGTTTTTCCTGGTGTTTAGTCGGAAGCTCCTTTCTTGTAACTTGAAGTCATTGCTTCGAGTCCTAGCCTCCAGAGCAGGAGTAAACAAGCTTGCTCCCTCTTCCATGTGACAGCCCTTTAGATATTGGAACATGACTATCCTATCTCCTCTCAATCTCCTTTTTTGCAAGCTAAACATACTCAGCTTCTTCAACCAGTCCTCATAATACGTTGTTTCCAGTCTCTTGAACACCTTGTTCACCCACCTCTGCACATGTTCCAGCTTGCCCATATCCTTTCTAAATTGTGCTGCCCAGAACTGGGCACAGTGCTCCAGGTATGGTCTGACCAAGGCAGAACAGAGCAGGAATATTACTTTCCCTTATTGGGACACTATACTTCTGGAACAGCACTGGCTTTTTTTTTTATCCTGTCATGAGAAGAGAAGACTCCCTGGAAAAGACCCTGCTGTTGGGAAAGATGGAGGGCGCAAGGAGAAGGGGATGACAGAGGACGAGATGGTTGGACAGTGTTCTTGAAGCTACCAGCCTGAGTTTGACCAAACTGCTGGACGCAGTGGAAGACAGGAGTGCCTGGTGTGCTCTGGTCCATGGGGTCATGACGAGTCGGACTAGACTAAACGACTAAACAACAACAACACACTGCTGACTCATGTTAAAGCTTGTGGTCTACTAAGGCCCCAAGATCCTTTTCACGTGGACTATTGGTAAGCCAGATGTCCCCCATCTTATATTTGTGTAGCTGGCTCTTCCTTCTTAAGTGCGGAACCTAACATTTGTGTGTATTGAAATTCATTTTGTTGGTTTGATCTGAAGTCAGTGCAGAATGCTGCACCGTGATTCCTGACAGGTCTGAGCTCTTGCCAGAGATCAGCACTGGTTGCTATTAGTATACAAAGGCCTTAATAACCTGGGAGCAGTTTACCTACGAGATCACCTTACCCCCCACATGTGCATACCCAACCACTTCAATTGGCGGAATTTGACACTACCTGGAGGATGTTGTAGGGTGGATGGCGGCTAATGGATTGAGGTTGAATCCTGACAAGACAGAAGTACTGTTCTTGGGGGACAGGGGGCAGGCCCGTGTGGAGGACTCCCTGATCCTGAATGGGGTAACTGTGCCCCTGAAGGACCAGATGCACAGCCTGGGAGTCATTTTGGACTCACAGCTGTCCATGGAGGCGCAGGTTAATTCTGTGTCCAGGGCAGCTGTTTACCAGCTCCATCTGGTACACAGGCTGAGACCCTACGTGCCCGCAGACTGTCTTGCCAGAGTGGTGCACGCTCTGGTTATCTCCCGCTTGGACTACTACAATGCACTCTACGTGGGGCTACCTTTGAAGGTGACTCGAAAACTGCAATTAATCCAGAATGCGGCAGCTAGACTGGTGACTGGGAGTGGCCGCCGAGACCATATAACACTGGTCCTGAAAGATCTTCATTGGCTCCCAGTACGTTTCCGAGCACAATTCAAAGTGTTGGTGCTGACCTTTAAAGCCCTAAATGGCCTCAGTCCTGTATATCTGAAGGAGCGTCTCCACCCCCATCATCCAGCCCAGACACTGAGATCCAGCACTGAGGGCCTTCTGGTGGTTCCCTCACTGCAAGAAGTGAGGTTACAGGGAAGCAGGCAGAGGGCCTTCTCGGTAGTGGCGCCCGCCCTGTGGAACGCCCTCCCAGCAGATGTCAAGGCAATAAACAACTATTTTACTTTTAAAAGACACCTGAAGACACCCTGTTTAGGGAAGTTTTTAATGTCTGACGCTGTATTGTTTTTGATATTTGGTTGGAAGCCGGCCAGAGTGGCTGGGGAGACCCAGTAAGATGGGCGGGGTATAAATAATAAATTATTATTATTTCTACTCCAGGTTCCACATAAAACCTGTTCTGCTTTTGTATGAACCCAACAGTTAGTGTGGCAGCACCTGCATTTTGGAACTCTCTGTCAGTTGATATCAAGCCTTCAGACTCAGGCACTATTGTAAACCACTTAGATACATTTTTGTGGTACAGCAGTTTGAGACCCATTGGCAACTCTCACTTCATTTAGCTTCTTCACCATGCTCTTTTGTAATAATGAAAGATTAAATTTTCCAGTAATTTGCAGATGCACCCACATTCTACATATGCATGTTTTCTCCAGAAATGGCATTCATGTATGGTGGTAATGGTGGTGGTTTTAAAGATCCTGAGCACTATGAAGATCAAAGACAATGCCTGCAAATGTGTGGAAAGTTAATCTACTTAGAATCATAGGACTGTAGAGTTGGAAGGGAACCACAGGGTCTCAGAGTCCAACCTATTGCATTGCAGGAATCTGAGCTAAGGAATCCCTGACAGATGGCCATCCAACCTGTGTTTGAAAACTTCCCTCTCACAGAAGTCAATGACATTTAATCAGCCTAATCACATACAGAATTGCTGCTAAAGTCCAAAAGGACAGCTCACAAACAATATTGATGCGCTGTGATAGCACAGCTTGTAGGGGAAGGGTTGCCCTTGGCTATAGATCAGCAAAACTATGCAGTAACGATTATGTACCTCAGAGCAACAACGAGCTATTATTCACTTTAGTAACACAAAACTCAATTAAAGCCAATGGAAGTCACCCAACCAACAGCTGAAAATGTTATGTCCTCACGGTTGAGGAAAAACTTTCAGAAAGGTTATCAATTTTTGAGGGAGGGTTGGTGGTGAAATATTTAGTGGAGGGGTTGAGACAGGAAAAAAACACCACCTGAATACTTCCTGTCAAGCTCCCCCACCCCCACCCCAGGTGTTGATGGCCCCAAAGAAATAGCAATGAAAATGATGCCTGAGGAGTGTGTGGCACCTGTGGCTGTTTAGTGTGAAATTCGACACACTGTAAAAGGCCATAGAGATGAGTCCTCGCACACAGATGTCCCCCATCAGAGCAGGCCATGTTAGAATAGGGGAGACCCCCTAAGCTCTTGGGAGTAAATAGCATCTAACCAGAATAGAAACTGAATGGGGGGAGAAAACTCTTCTGCTGGGAAGGACATTGACCCATCAGAAACGGCATGATTATTCACCTTTTCATGCTGATGATAGCACAACCAATTCAGGACTGAAGCTATTGAGGATGTTTTGTGGGATGAATGTCACCTTCTGCAATCAGCTGATGTGGACAAGGTGCTGGCAGCAATGCATCTGATGGGGACTGACCGGTTGGGTCCAGATTGTGGTTAATGCTTCACTGTGAGGGGGTGGTCCTTGCTGCATTGAAAGAAACAGTGGTGCGACCTCTCTTAAAGAAATCGGCTCTGGATCACTTGGATTTGAACAGCAACTGGCCAGTTACAAGAAAAATCACAACCCTTTTTAGGGAAGGTGGCGGAAAGGACTTTGGTGGGGCCCCTGCAGGCATTCTTGGAGGACACAATTTATTTAGATCCATTCTGATCTGGATTTAGGCCTGGCCATGGGATGGAGTCGGCCTCAGCTGATCCTTGTAGAGAGCAGGACGGGGGAGTATGACCTTGTGCCTGCATGATCTCTCATTGGCATTTGAAAGCATTGACCATAGTGTCCTCCTGGACCAGCTCTGAGGAATGGGGATTGGGGGCACTTTATTACAGTGGTTCCAATCCCACCTTCAGGACCGTGTCTAGAGAGGAGTGCCTTCTGGCCACTTGGCAGCTATGCTATGGCAGCTACCTTATCTCCAGCACGATTTAATATCTACATGAAACTGCTGGGAGAGGTCATTAGGCGTTTCCGGGCGAGGTGCCATCAATAGGTTGATGATACTCAACTCTATTTCTCCATCATCTCTGAATCAGGAGATGCTGTCCAGTCCCCTGGGGCATTGCCTGGGTACAGTTGTAAAATGGATGAGGAAAAACAAACTGAGCTTGAATCCTGGCAAGAGAGAGGCACCGTGGGTGAGTAGCTCCTTGTTTCTGAGAAATTGCTCAGTTGCCTAGTCTGGATGGGGTTGCGCTGCCCCATCAGGTTCACAGCTTTGGGGTGCTTCTAGATCCAGCTCTGTCCCTGGAGGCTCAGGTAACCTCAGCGGCTAGAAGCAGTGTTTGCCAACTGCAGCTGGTTCGACTGCTACAACCGTTCCTAGACCCAGAAAGCCTTTCCATAGTAGTTAATACGCTGGTTACTTCATGACTTGATTACTGCAACGCACAAGGGTGGGGCTTCCCTTGTATTTGATCCAGAAGCAGTTAGTGCAGAATGCTGTGGCACAATTGCCAAGTATATACACAAATGTGGTGACAGTAATAATAATGCCACAAAACACCACCACCACAAACTGGCTTATAAATTTACTAGAATAATAACTAGAATAGAGATAGACTTGTAACCATTCAAGCAACAAACGTACTAAGGTGCCAT